TATACAGGGTGTCCCATTTTAATTGCCCACCCCAAATATTTCGAAAACTACACATCCTAGAAGAAAAAGTTTTAGACAAAAGTTGTAGGGTTTCGAGGGGGGCATCCAACAGTGACCTTGACCATGACCGTTACCATGATCGTCAAGGTCATTTCAAGGTCAAGTCAAAATTTTCAAATGGAACCTTTTTTCACACCGCAATTGGAAAGAGGAAGAAATTTTATCCGAATATGACCTTGACCGTGACCTCAATGTCAAGATCATGTCAAGATGAAATCCAAACATCTTGAAAACTATGTGCTCTTGCAAAAATGTTCGACACCAAAGTTGAGGTTCGGCGGGGGTTACTTAATGATCATGACCTTCAAAGTCATTTCAAGGAATTAGAAAGAGGAGGAAATTTTACGGGTCTGAATTTTGTGTGATCATAAAAGCAAACTCCCAATGAAGAAAACTATAATAGTTATAAAGGACCATTTTATGAAAATTAACCCTTACTCCGTAACCCTTTGTTTCGGCACCTTAAATCTGTAAACCATGATCTTTTAGATCCTGTGCCTTTTTTAAACGGTAAAAATGCTTTGAAAAATCTGCAGAAATTCATGGAGCTTCTTAAAACCCTCAACTACAAATCCCAATTAAATATTTCGGGAAAAATAATTTTTTTATACATTTCTTATTTGAAAAAAGTGGAAAAACCTATGGAAAAATCACTTGTTCTTGCACTTGCGGCAGGATCTAAAAGACCATGGTTTACAGATTTAAGGTGCCGAAACAAAGGGTTACGGAGTAAGGGTTAATTTTCATAAAATGGTCCTTTATAACTAGTTTTCTTCATTGGGAGTTTGCTTTTATGATCACACAAAATTCAGACCCGTAAAATTTCCTCCTCTTTCTAATTCCTTGAAATGACCTTGAAGATCATGATTATGGTCATTAAGTAACCCCCGCCGAACCTCACAACTTTGGTCGAACGTTTTTGCAAGAGCACATAGTTTTCAAGATGTTTGGATTTCATCTTGACATGATCTTGACATTGAGGTCACGGTCAAGGTCATATTCGGATAAAATTTCTTCCTCTTTCCAATTGCGGTGTGAAAAAAGGTTGCATTTGAAAATTTTGAATTGACATTTACATGCACTCATGGTAACGGTCATGGTCAAGGTCACTGTTGGATGCCCCCCTCGAAACCCTACAACTTTTGTCTAAAACTTTTTCTTCTAGGATGTGTAGTTTTCGAAATATTTGGGGTGGGCAATTAAAATGGGACACCCTGTATATATAATATGAAGCATTCTTTATCAAAAAGGCCACCCTTCCCTCGTCCAAAATTCAGAGAGGCCTTGGGATTTATTTTGGGCTTAAATTGTTGCTTGAGATGTCTACTTTTAAAAAAAATATGGTCTTTTCGGAAAATCAAAATGGCGCATTCAAGATGCCAGAATGAACAAAGTCAAGCAGAAAAAAAAAGATCATAAACCTTCAGAAGAACTACATGACTTGGAAAATTAATGGCAGCAAATTTTTCCATATATTTTTAGCTGTTGAAAACGCATTTGATAATAAAATTGGCCATATTTTGGCCGCCATTTAAAAAAAAACTGCAAAAAATTCGTTTTTTTATAAAATAAAATTCGTATATCTCAGAATTTTAATTCGTATATCTCAGAAAATATTGATTTTAGAAAAAAGTGTTGAATAAAAAATAAAGCTCTTGAAATTCTCTACAAAGAAGGTCCTATGCATAGTTTTCGTAATTTTAACCATTTACGTGTAATATGACTTTAAATTACGAGATCCTTTATTAGGCTATATAGGTTGTACAAGGTTTGCAAAAAGTTTCGGACCACCTTAATAACTCTTGAGAAAATAAAAATTGCGAAAAAAAGCAGTTTTTTTTTAAAGGAGTGTTCCATTTCTTAAACAAAGTGCCCATATAAAAAGATACGTATTCTTAGATTTTTGTGTTTAAACATATTTCATGGAAAATAAAATCGGTGCCGGACAGTTGTAAAACGTCTCTTTTAGTAAAAAATCAAATAAAATTCTGAAAAATCAATTAAAATCTAGAAATCAAAAAGGATATTTTTTTGATACAAACTTCGATTTTTAAAAAATGAAAATATCTTTTAAATATTTTTGTCACCGATTACGTTGATCTACACTTTAAAAAAAATTGCACATGAATCTCTGTTCAACTTGCTACAAAATATATTTTGTTTAGATTTTTCCAAAAAGTGGGCCACATTGAAAAAAAATTAAATTTATACTTTCTCGTTAATTTTTTGAAAAAATGAGTGATAGTTTTTATCAGCTTTCTAATAGGTAAATGTCGGATACGTAGAATAACGGCATTGGATACACACGGGGGTTCGCTCGTTGCAATACTTTACGGTGTCGTTTGAGTTTTAGTGTGAGACTTTTCCTCCTCATTTCGACTTGCCCTTTGGTCCTGTTTACGTTCTTTACGTTCCATCCGGGGTGCTCTCTCGGGACATTCGCTCCCTCGGACCCATGTCGGAGGCATCGATGCCTGGCGATGGGGCGGGAGGGATTCGGTAGCCGCTTTTCGAACACCGCATATGAAGACCGCTACTTCATTTGAATCAGGTTCCATACAATCTGTAAACTCTCAAAAGTCCATACTCTTTGATTCTAGCTCGATTGTAAGCAAGAACTTTTCGGATGCGCCATCGAATTCCGTTGACGAAAGCTGGTCAACTTAATGGCGAAAGTCGTTGCAAGTGATTTTCCTTCGCCATCTTTCTAACACAGAGGTCTTTAACACGCCGCTTCCAAAGGATATTAACTTCGAAAATAATAAGCGCAAACGCAGTGGTCAGGTCTTGGATGATGAGGTGAGATCTAAGGTTCCAGCTGTCGCCTCTTCAGAGAAAGATTCTTTTTCTAATCAACTAGAGCCCGGCCTGGGCAAGGCATCTGCTCTAGAGACCAATAATAGAGTTGTTAACGTATATTCCAATAATGATTCTTCCCTTTGTCGTATATGTTTACTCGGATAAGTCATCCCCGATTCATTTTCGCGTATCATCTCCGAGTCTGTCAAGAGTGACATTCTTCTTATTAAGAGATTAGAAATCGGTAAAGCCATTATTGAAATCAGCGGAAATCGCTAATCGTCTAATTTCTAACACCATTTGACAAAAATAATCTCAGGGCTTTCATTCCTTCGTTCAAAGTTCTTCGCACAGGAATTATTAGAGGCATCGATCAATCTTGGTGCATTAAAGGAAACCTAATCTCCTCAGTCAAAAAATACTGGACATCCAGCGAAGAGATATTGAAGATACATTGGTAAATGGTAAAACAACATATGTTCCTTCGAGAACAGTTTGCATTAAATTCGCGGGACAAAAGCTTTTCAGAAAGGTTGCCTTATTTAATGCTTTATACAAAGTCGATGCATACGTATCTAAAACCAGGATCTGCTACGTATATTACAAAATTGAATACATAGAGATTGTAAGAGCACTAAATCCCGCTGTCTCTTCTGCGGGCTTTCCTGCAAAGAAGGTCATTCTTGCACAGCTAACTAATCACAACCGAGATGCATTAATCGCGGAAGCCACTAATCGCCTAATTTCTAACCATTTGACAAGAATAACCTCAGGGCGAAGGCGAACATTTAGCAACCTCCCACGCATGTCCATTGTTAAGCAAAACTGTCCTTAATTTAGCCGCACAAGAAAATACCCTATGGTTGAAGCCAAAAAAATAGTTATCTTAAACAGTCTGTCATCCCTCCCCTCCTGCAACGTGACGCATTGATTTAAAAAATTTTCTCCTATTTGAAATCCCCCCGTTTATCTTCTCTCTAATTCTTCCGTTCCTCCTCATAATGCACCTCGCTCCTTTCCTTCTTCCCTATCTATCCCTCTCATAATCAATACCAACGCCTCGATTCTGACGATGTAAGTTCTCACTTACCAGACATTTACCCGAGTTACGCCAAAGTTACGGAATCTTCACTCAATAACAAGTATACTCCAAGTTCTATTCTAGGAAAACTTACCATTCAATAAGTTGAAGCCATTCCAGAAAAATACCGATATAGATATTACCAGCACCCTCTTCTGGTCATTCACCCTCATCCAACCAAAGCAACTCAGGATATTCGTGTGAACACCAGAATATCCTGCTCGTTCCAAATGATCGCATCAAGATGAAACCAGGGGCCAGCGGATATCAATTAATCAATCAACCATCCAATGGAGGAATATGAGTCAATCAACGCAAAAAAACTCCTCTTCCGTTGCAGCCACATTAATTTACAAAATTATCGACTTTCTGGAAAATTGTGAGTCTTTCATGAATATTCCTGTTATTACAGATATGACTTCCCCTATTATCTCCCTGCTCCGCAAGTTTCTGACATATTGACCACACTTGACTTTAGCCCCGAATTTCTTACCAACTCTATGAGCAATCCTGACTCTCCCTCCTTCAACAATGCAGTTATATCTTCTGGGTAGATTAATCAAGTTCACTTGCAACAACAGCATTCATTTTATTAGAACTATGCAGTGGAATTGCTACGGTACTTGCGGCAAGCTCCCTCAACTTCAATCTATTAGCAAAAACTTTAACATTCTATGTCTACAAGAGACTCTGCTTCACCCCGCTTCGCCATTCCAACTATCGACTTTTCACGCTATCAGAAAGAACATTACCGGAATCTGACAAAGAGGTATCGACATTTTATTAAGGAATAACATCATTTTTATTCACATGGATCTCTCCGATCTTCATCACCCATCTATAGAAATGCAGGACATATCCACCTTTATCAATAAATAACAGCAGACAATCATTATCAACATTTTAATTAACACACACCTCAAGAATGGTATAATAAACTGTCGCAGCTCCTTGTCACATCCTTTACTATAAGAAAGTAGTTCTTATAGTAGGAGATTTCAATGCACACCACCTGGGGTTGCCATTAATCCAAGAAGGTATCTTTTAAATGCCATTGACGCGAATAATGCTTGGATTAACTCCGCTTGGAGCTAACGCTTTTGTTATTGACATAACAATTGCCTCTGCTGATTTAGCGCTTCTATATGATATTAGAACTGACATTGACACTCTGGATAGTGATCATTTCTCCGTTAAAATCACAATTGGCAGCTCCTCTCATCTCCGTCACATCTTTTTATATAAATTAGCGCTCGACTCTAGCAATATGGATAAATTATATTATCTTTTATCATCTACTTCCGATGATTTTTTTTTTTAGCAAAGTCCCAGATGATTCAATGAAGCACATGAATACTTTGCGGCTCACCTCTGTGACCTTATGAGGACATTTCTGAATTATTCCGGAAAAGCATCACTATCCGAGATCAGTCCCCGCGCCCAATCACAAGAATCCTCCTTGGTGGATGGAAGAATGCTCCACGGCCATATTGGATCGTAGAATCGCCGCTAAGTCATATCAGTATCCTTTTCTGAAGAATTTTCTTCACTTTGAGAAAGCAAGAACGTCCTGTTCCAGAACTCTACACAAAATTAAAAGGAAACAATGGAAGAAATTTGTTGATTTCTTCGACCATAAGACGCTTACTAAAGACATCTGACGCTTAATTAAGGCCTTCAAAAAACATAACTTATCGGAACCGGTCATTTCAATTTTAAATGATGACAATCAACGTGCACTTTTTGAGAATGCAAAGAATAAAATCTGCCCTCCCTCTTGTGTTCCGGATAACACCAGAAACTCGGAATATATGCTCTCAGAAAATCGACATCACCTGGAGGAGATCTTTACAGACTGGGTTGTTCCTACCAATGAATTTAACCTTGCGCTCGCTAGGAAAAGCTGTGCTTCTTGTCACATCCACGAAAGTTCTTATAGTAGAGAATTTTAATGCACACCATACCTCCTGGGGTTGCCATAATAAATTGGATTCAAATAAGCTATACTATGCTGTCTTCCTTGTCGCAAAAAATATAAAGATTTTCTATTGAGCTTGTTTAATCACTTCTTAGCGGAGGGATTCATCACGCATTCCTGGTAGTCCTCCCTCATAATCTTTATACCAAAAGCGAACAACTCTTCGTCCGATTTCGCTCCTGTCCTATGTTCTAAAAATCTTGGAGAGGATTATTTAAGATTTCAATGGCTTGTGGAATCACAGGTGATTTTATCTCAGGAGCAAATGGGCTTTAGACCCTCCAAATCATGCACAAATAGTCAGATTACCCTCACAAATAACATACATGCTAGTTTCCTAGTTTCCCAACGAGGTCGTTGTTGCCATTTTCCTCGACATCACCGGCGCCTTTGACAACGTGCTCCCTGAGATGGTACTTTCGGAGCTCAGAAAAATTAGAGTACGTAAATTCGTCGAAAATACTATCATCCTAAAAAAATATTCACTTCGTGAAGGAAAGACACCTCAGCGATACCTAAAGCGCTCATAAAGGCACTTCCCATGGTTCCACGCTTAGTCCACTGCTTTTTAACATCAGCCGAGAATTAGATTTTCAGCTTCATTCGGAGACTCTCTTTCTTCAATATGCTGACGACATCGTTGTGTATTCGTCATCTGTAAAGGTCAAGGAGAGGTCACATTTGACAATGTTCAGTCTTCTTTGAAAATGATTTCTTCATATTTATTCGCCAGAGGATTGGAACTGTCAACAAATCTAAATGGATGATATTCTCTAAAAGAAGGAAACCAGCTAATGAAGATTCTAAGATTAAGAATTTACATAGATAAATTCCGTCCGGTGAAGAGGGTACTCAATATTAAATTTTTGGGCATCACTTCGGACTGCAGGCTCAAGGAAGATATCCACATTAAGCAGGTCATTAAAAAAGGAAGATCTCTGATCAACATCATCGCTTGCTGTTGTTTGATAGGGCTCACATCCCTAGTTACTACTTACAATATACAGAGCTGTCTTCAGAGAGGCTATTGAATACGGCTGTTAAATCTTTGTATTACACAGTAATAAACCCTTGCTCTTACAATTGAGCTACAATAAAGCAATAAGAATTGCTCTTGGCGTGGATAGAGAATCCACGCCTATCAATGTTATTTTGTATGGAGCCAAGGAACTGCCTCTTAAACTTCGCTTCTCTCTTGTAATAAAGAAATTTGTACTAAGGTCAATGTCTAGGAATAATAGCGTAGTTCTACGCAGTCTCCGTTCCAGGAGAGAATTGTTCTAACACCAGAAGAGAGATTATGTACTCTTTCATCTTCACCTTCGTTTAAATATTATATCTTTAATAAATCTAATCCTTGATAGTCTTTTTAAATCTATCTTCCACTCGGCCTTTGAAACTTCTTATTCAGATTTCATCTGACGAGCGGGATTTCAACAAATTCTTTCAGACACAAAGAATAAGTCAGACTGCTCCGTTAAACAGGAATTTCTGCATAATTCTGTCTACATGATTCGGTTATCACCTGTTACACCAACGGATCTAAGTTGAATAGGCATGGCTGCGCTGGAGCAGTAATATCACCGGAGCTGGATGTCAATTTCAGATATAAGCTTATATCGGATACCAAGATTTTTACGGCCGAGATTTGGGCGATTCTTCAGATTCTAATTCTGATCCAAGATACAGGATACTCCAAGACAGTTATTTTCTCTGATTCTAGAAGCGTCTTAGAATCCATTAATTCTACTAAGCGCTTATCAATAGTAACTATTTTATCCATTGGATTAAATATCCATTGGATCGCCTTCTCACTGCCTTAAACAGAGGCATTGACATCTTCCTCATATTTATATTTTGGATACCTGCTCACCGAAGTATTCCTGGCAATGAAATTATAAGGCTGTCAAGGAAGTCACCCTTGAAGACGGTAGAGGCAATTTTAGGCTTCCATTTTCTAACCTGATTTTAACAGCCAATAGAATCTCTAACTTTCGCTTCAATAGATATTTCGAGGACGCTGCTAGATCCACTGACCAACACTTATGCTTCGCTATACTCTGACTCCTCTACCAAGATCTGGTTTCACCGTAAAATGAAGTCTCAACCGACAAGAAATTGTTCTGCTCAACAGACTTCAAGCCAATCATTACAACTTAAATTACAGCCTCTTTAGAACAAATATGGTTGACTCTCTAGTCGGCTTGCTCTTGTGGTGATCCTCGACAGGACACCAATCATGTAATATTTTACTGTTCATTATTCCGCAGATTTGTTCCTCTCTGCAAATTCCTTAAGATAACTTTTTCTCATAACTCTACTAACATCTTTCCTATGCTTAAGAATCCCCAAGTTAAAATGTGCAGACTTCTCCTCTCCTTCTTTAAGTCTCTACAATTATTGATCTAACTTCTCCCTCCTCTCCTCTCTTTCCATTTGCTCTCCCTCTCTTTCCATTTACTCTCCCCCTCTGTTCTTGTGTGGTGCTATCTGTCACTGCAGCCCGGATTTGGAGGGCTAGAGTTTTTTTTTAGGCGGGGGGGGGCGCTAATGTTCTTTCTGCTTATAGTTACATTCATGCGGTTTGCACAATTATCTTTCCTGTGGAAGATTGGAGTGATATTGGGCTACGTTCTAAAACTTCCTCTCTGAGGAAAATTTTACTGAGGAAATATATAGTACACATAACGTATACTATAGCATATAGAATAAAATCTTCCTCGGAGAGTTTTGAAACGTAGCCTTGAAAACGACTGGCCAAGTTTACCTCGATAACAAAGACCTGGGCCGCTAATATCCGAAGAAGAAGAAGAATAGGTAAATATCCTGTTTATGAGAGCCTCTTGATCTTGACATATGTTGTCAAAGTCATGATTCTCAGTAACGTCCAACAAGTTTTAACCGTCGCTTGTTACTCGTTTTATATTTTGTTTTATGTAGAACAAAAATTTGCTGCTTTAAAATATATTTTACGACTGTCTATGCGAAGCAGCTCTAACCCCACCTCTTCCCCTGCTGAGGGACGAACGACTTTCACGCGAAGCGACTCTCACCCCATCTTTCTCCTCTGCTTAAGAGCATGCGACTTCCATGCGAAGTAACTTTCACACCACCTCCCATCCTGCTACAAGCAGGACTTTCCACGCGAAACATAAAAAGTCATGCGCCTCTATGAGTTACTATATAAAAACAAAAATTATATAAGAAAATAACGTTTTCAAAATAATTTTTGTTTTTAAAGCAGGAAATCTATCTTAAAGCAGAGAATTTTTATTCTATAGAATACAATAGAAAATCTTTTTTTTTTTAATTTTTCTTCTTAATAACTTTTTAATGAATAACGAGCGATGGCCAAAATTTGTTGAAGGTTACTCAGGATTGTGACTTTGATAACATATCAAGGTCAAGATCATGGAAAGACTTCCGTAAACAGGATATTTACCCTCTAATATTTTATCTAAAAAAATTCCACGTTACAATGTTCTGTTAATCACAAGTTGAAAATTAATGATAACTTATAAAATTATTTTTTAATTTTTATTAATTCCATAAAACATAAAGTTTTCATTTTACAAATCACTAAGTTGGAAGGCAATTATTTTAGATTCAATTGATATTTATGTTCATTTTGACAAACGTCCGTATTTATTCCTTATTGCTATCATTATTAATTACTGGATAAACTTCTTCTAAACAAATTAGTTAGAATTTCGGCAAGCCTTATAATTTTATATTGATATCGAGTATGAGATAAATAATATATCACAGTGGCAATATGAAAACAACATCCAATTATGCGTCTACCATTAGGATAATCACATAGTATCTAAATTCTGACTAATCTGTACCGAAATTCTGACTAATCTGTTCACTACAAAAAAAATTTATCTTGTAATTAATAACGATAGCGATGAGAACTAAATATCGACGTTTGTTAAAATTAGTATAAATATCAATTGAATCTGCCTTCCAACTCAGTAATTTGTAAAATGAAAATTTTACGTTATTATTAAAAATTATTAATAATTTTATGGAATTATTAAAAATTAAAAAATAATTTAGCAATCATTAACATTTCAACTTGCAAAACATTTCAATATGGTTAATAATAATAGACAAAAAAGGCTACAAGTAGGAACAATAGCTTTAATCTTCTTTCAAAAAATAATGATTAACGTATTAAACATAAACACTACAGACATTTCAACACCGATCGAATCATTTAGGTCATTATCAATGTTATATTAAAATTGAAATTATAATTTAAAATTAGTCATTATACGTACGTTATGATAAAAAAAAATATAAAATCGAAAAAATACATAAAATTATTGTATCATATTCGAAAGTCCATATGTTTTGTGGTTCATAGATTCATACACTCACCGAAAGCCACTCAGTAAGATATTCAATAATTATTTCGGATAACTAAAATTTTAAATATAATTAGGTATGTACCACGTTCGTGGACAAATGTGTACATGATGATATGACGAAAATTTCAAGCCGTGGTCAAAGTCTCGCTACAAATGCTTTGAAGCGTTTAATGGACCAATTAGAAGAAAGAATTTACAAATGACCAATTAAAAATGCTTCAAAGCGTTTGTAGCATCGCATTGACCATACTCTTAGTTATTCACAATGATTATTGAGTGTCCTACTAAGTGGATTTTGGTCTTTGTATGAATATATGTTTTTAATAAATATGAGCCCAAAATGTAAATTTAAAAAAAAAGTCAAACAATAAAAACGCAGTCAAGATTTAACAGTCAAATGAAATAAAAAGAAGCAATAGTGCGATATGTGTCAAGAGACGTTGTAATATAAAATGACTGTGAGAAATGAAATAATTTCAATATGGAATTTTATAAATAAATAAGACATTAGAGATTGATAAAAACGGTTTGTATCGCTCATTTTTTCAAAAAATTAAAATGTAAATTTTTTAATTTTTTTTAATGTGGCCCAATTTTGGAAAAATCTGAAAAAAAATATTTTGTACGAAGTTGAATAAAGGTGCAATTTTTTTTTAAGTGATACATCAATGTAATCAGAATGAAAACAATGTTCAAAAATTATTTTCATTTTTGTAGAATCGAAATTCGCACTAAAAAAGAATAAAAAAAGTGTCCTCATTAATATCTAGATGAAATTAATTTTTTAGAATTTTATTTAAATTTTTACTAATTGTTAGCTAAAATCGAAAAATTATAAAAAAATCATTTTTTCGCTCTAACTTTTAATCACATCTCCATATAGAAGATTTTACATATTAGGTGTAGTAAAAAGAAATCCATTATTTTTACTACACCTAATATATATAAAATTTGATATGTAAGTGTCTTTTTATATAAGTTACCTTAGAAAAGAAGGTCAATTCAAAAAGCCGTGGCGGCATTTTTACCATACTTATTTCGATAGGCGCTGTCAATCGTTTTATATTTTTTAAATATATTTATAGCTTCTACATAAAACTTCTATGTTATATAATATACATATATATAATATATTAGGGATATTGAAACGTTCTCACTCATGTCCAATCACTATCCATCGTCGCCGGCCGATAGCTCGCGCAAGCCACGAAAAACGGTAAAAATAAAAGAAGAGAGAGGAAGAGAGAAACGATCGAAAGGAGCAAAATGGGCGCGAAGCTGAGAGAAACGATTGATTTCTCCTGTGTGTGTGTGTGTGTGATTAAAATATTGGGCAATTTATATAATAAAGAAAACTTAAAAATAAAATATTGAAACAACGTACCAAATGTATGGGAATCATTTTTATCATGCGTCAATACAATATCTAATGTCTGGGGACGAATCGGTTTTTCGAATTCTTGATCATTTCCTCTTGTATGAGAATCATTGTTTTTAGATACAGATTCCATCTTGGATATGTTCTCATTATCATGTACACTGGTCTCATATACCACAAAAACATCTTTATTATTCTCAGTAATATCTTGACAGTATACTTTTTTTTCACAATCTTTGTTTTCTGATAAATTTAATAAAGTATCACTGTTGCAATCTTGTGATAGAATGTCTCTATTAGAATCTTGTAATTTCTGTACCATATTATTACTACACAAATGTTCTCCAATATTTTCAAATTTCGATGAAATTTTCTCTTGAACAGCGATACATGTTTGTAAGGTTTTCTCTTGTATTTCTACACCTTGACCAATTATTTCAGTTACATGGTTATCTTTTGTTGTTTTGCCTAGCTCATTACTTTTTGTGTATTTTAGTTGATTACTTTTTAAATCGAATTTTACTGTATTATTACATTTTACATCTACTATATTTTCATGACATATATCCGTGTTATAATCAATTACAGGAAATTTTTTCGTCTTCTGAAATTCCTCTTGTGATATTTTTGGAAGCTCGCCTATCATAATTTTCTCAAATATCGGCGCTTCATTAACATCTTCGTCATCTCGTTGACAATGATTGGCATTCTTTTCTCTATCTCTTCTCAATTCATATGATTGTAACAACCAGGTATTATCCGAAAGTGATATATTATCCGTTTTAGATCTTTCTTCTTTCTCTAACTCTAATAAATACTGATTTAATTCTTCTTCGGAAAAGTCGTCGCTGGTATCAATTGTACGTATACGTACATTGGAAAAAATGTCACTTTTAATTGTTTCTATATTATTATTTTGATTTTCGTTACTTGTTATATTTTTATCCAACTTTTTAGTTTCTACTATGCTTTCTTTATTTTCAACAAATGTGTATTTGTCGATGAAATTTCGCCTATTCAAGTCTAACTGCTTTTGTTTGCTAATATATCTGTCAGAATTTTCTTCAAATGTATCATTAGCTATGATCTTTTTATCTACATCACCTTTGTTACTAGACAATTCCATATCTATTACATCATTATGATTCGAGATGGCCGTGTTTGGTGTAGAAATTATAGAATTATTTTCTTCAGACTGTACCGAAATAGGATGATGAAACATAATATTTTGCATTGTATTATCCTGTTTGTTATTAATTTCAACTTTGACGAACTTATTTAATTCCATCGGTAAAATATTTTTATGGTCCAAAATATTTTCGTCAATTACATTAATTATCTCTTTTTCCATTGAAATTGAAGAAAGTTCATTAATGATCACATCTCTGTTTGATTTAAAATCTTTCTTCACTGCGTCATCTATGGATCTTTCAAATAAATCGTCTTTATCTAATATAGGTTCAACATAATTTAAACTTCCAGTAGGAGCATTAATATATTCGTTCAAACTATTAAACACATTGCTGATACTAGGCTTGAAATTCGGTTGATTTAATTTTTTGTCATATCTATCATCATCTTTCGAATCACTACTTGCATTCTGTTGTTCCTGCGTCAAGTTTTGTGATATATTATTATCTATCGTTGAAGACACTTCATCAAAATCAGTATAAGTATGAACACATGATTTCTGCCCAAACGTGATATCATTGATACGATCATGTGTATAGAAATTATTTACGGATTCTCTATTCTCCGACATAAACACTATCTCCTTTTCAGTTAATGAATATTTGGAGTCAATGTCTATTGGTTGAGTATCTCTATAGTTTTCAACAGACGGTACTACATCGATTGTTATGCCTTTCTCAGGATTAAAGTTACATATTTTGGGAACCAGAGATTCATTATGCTTCTCCGCAGCTGAAGCTTTAATAGAAGTTGCGACTGACGCTATTTGCTCTGCGCAATCTGAAAAAATAATCTAATGTAAAATTTTATATTAACTAAAATTTTTATTTAAAATAATTTATCTACAATATACACTACACGCAACAATTAGGGGATTACTTTAAAACCTGCAAATTTTCTCAATCTTTAAGATGCTATATTTCAACTTCCAGAGATCGCAAGACAATTTTTCTGGATATTTTAAAAACAAAAATCTCGATTTTAAAACAGTTAAAATGAATTTATAAATTTATTAGTAGCTCGCAAATTACAAACATAAAATACAAGGAGCATTCAGCTACGAGCAGGATGTTTTTTGCAAATGTATATTAAAAATTCTTACGTTAAAGATATAAATTCATAGACAAGTTCGGCCTATATCAGGCCATCCTCAGTATACAATATAAATAATATATAAATAGTTCGCCATCATAATAGAAGCAAAAATTTTTCAACAATATACACAAGTATAGATTGTAATTGAACTAAATTTTATTATTAATTTATTATTCTTCTTTTAATTTTACTAAGAATCATAGATCTTTTATATATTTCAACTCTTTTAATCTTATAAATGCGAAGTATTTATATATTATTTATATTGTGGTGTACTGAGGATGATATAGGTCGAAATGTCTACGAATTTGTATCTTTAACGTAAGAAAATTAAAATGACATTTTTTGCTCCATTGAACGATTTTTTTTTCGCGATAATCAGAAACGGGTCATGTTAAAATTCTAAAAATTTCATCCCTTTCCCGCTTTTCACGGACAAAACAAAGAAGAAAAAATTTCATTATATAAGTGAGAGATCTTACGTCCCTACTATAATTGGCCAATTATGTTACTGCTTATGTTTTAATACTTAAATTTTTTGTGCCATAGTCCGTAAGGGCTAAGGCTACCGCAGACAAGATTTTGTAATGGTAAGCGTAAGGCGTAAACTTAAGCCGATGAGCCAATCAGGATATTGCTTTAGATCTACATAATCTGATAGAAATAGAAGTAGCAGTAAACCTATCTACAAGGCTGCAACGATGTATATCGTTACCAGCATGTAACTCGCGGGTGACAGCCATTCCACTGAAGGCTCACGGATTTTACACTTTATCGAGTGGCACCGATCAGTATCATTCCCGTTCGTATTACCGGTCGGCGAAAATTGCCGAGTAAGACCGGAACAATACGAACAACAATCCGTATATAAACTCGCAAATTGTTGCTCGCATTTGCGATTCTTCTCCGCTCTTAACGAATACCACTATCACCGATTCCTAGCAACCGTATCCATCGCAAGACAAAGTAGTGAAGAGTACTCCATTACTAGGGCTCTCGGTCGATTTTCTTGCATTCATCCGCACCGACGGGGTAATTTCAGGACAGAGGAAACTCTCTTGCTGAACGTACTCAGCCGCCGACCAGCTGCAGCTCTCGCGCCGTTGCACCGACGGGATTCTCTCCGGGGGCCAGAGCGTACTCTGCCCCGCTGAGAACTTTCTCGGCCAACTACGACTGTTTCGGACCGCACCGGACATAGCAAGGGGATCGAGCGTGCTCAGTCGCCGTTGAGTTTTTCTTGGCCATCTGGTACAAGCATCTTCGTCGCATCCACGGTGATCGACAATAGGAGTGGAGCTTTCTCCGCTTCCGCCGAGAGCTCTCGATCGTCGATTACCAACACATCTAACTTCACGCTTTTATACCCGCACATCAAGATCCGCCGGAATACCGCGCCGCGCCCGCGTTCGGGATTCGCGCCTAGCGTGTACCCGCGTTCGCATCAACCAATCAGCGGCGCACTATCGCGCATAGCTGATTGCCGAATATACGTGCCGCATACCAGCACAGACCGCGCCGCGTCAGAAAAAGCTGTCTGTGGCATCCTGCGTACGAGACCGCGTTCGCCGAAACAAATATATACACTCGCACACACACATACTCACATACACACCGCGTCAAGTATTGTACACCCGACACCGTTACACATAGTATATATACATATTCAGCGTTTCTAATAAAAGCATTCTTCACATCAGAATCGTATTATATCGATCGACCTGCATCTCTCCTTTTCGTGCGAACCTTTTTAGCATTCCGGCCCATTACCTACCGAATCCGACGAGCTAATCCGCGTCAAAATTAGGTTGTTTCAAGACAAATTTCAACCGACGGAATTTTGCAGTTTTTTACGGAATTTTGTCTGCGATAGCCCTAAGGCCATGACATATAGAAAAACTAAAACGTAAGACTTAAGCAGTAAGCAAATTGACTAAGGGCTGTAACAGTAAATTTCTGTAACAGTAATCTTAAGACGTGAACTTAAGCTGATGAGCCAATCAGGATACTATTTTAGATCTACGTACTCTAACGAAATAGAAATAGCAGTAAACTTATCCAGAAAGCGAGTTTCAACCGGTTGAAATTCACCTTATTGCGAGGTTATAAATAAGTTTACTGTTATTTCCATTTAGATTACGTAATCTAAAGCAATATCCTGATTAGTTCATCGGCTTAGTTTACACCTTACGCATACTGTTACGGAATTTTGTGTGCGGCAACCCTAATCACAATCAAGACTGTAAGACCATACATAAGCAGTAACGAATCGAATATGTTGATTTCCTTACTGCTTAAGTCTTACGTCTTAAGTTTTTGTATATGCCAAGGCCTTTAAAGTAAAAAAAATTTAGAACTCTGAGTCTCCGCTTTCGGAAACTTCAGAGTTCTAAGAAACCGATTCTGTAACTCTTAGTGTTGCCGCACACAAAATTCCGCAACAGGGACCATAAGACATGAACTTAAGCCAATCAGGATATTGCTTTAGGTTTATGTAATCTAACGGAAATGAAAATAACAATAAACTTATTCATAACCTCACAATAAGGTGAATTTCAACCGGTTGAAACTTGCCTTATGGATAAGTTTACTGCTATTTCTGTTTCCGTTAGAGTACGTAGATCTAAAGCAATATCCTGATTAGTTCATCGGTTTAAGTTCGTCTTAAGGTTACTGTTACAGAAATTTTGTCTGCAGCAGTCCTTAACAGTTGTTGATGTTGCGGATATTATGTAGAGTAAAAAAGCTGCATAGTGACATCAACGACTGTCGTTAAGAGTTATAGAATCGCCCCTAAAACTCTTCAGTTATCGATTTCAGCGCACAGGTTTTTAAGAATAATCGTTAGAATTTTTTGAGGCTACTAGAACTCGTGTCAGAATTTGTAAAAAAAAACGTTTTCGAAAAAATTTTTTTAAAATTCGATATTTTCTTGAATTCTGGTAATCACCCCCCCCCTCCCCGCCCTCCAAAGAATTCTAACGATTATCCTAAATAAATCGAAACACTAAAATAAAAGATAAAGAAGTTATTATAATCCTTCAAAGATTCGGAATTGTGAAGTTGGTCCCCGATACTTCAAGTATTTTCATCGCTTTAATCAATGGAATCCTTTCTAAAACTATATAGATAAAGAACTCTAGAATTCTTCAGGAAGCAACCAGAACGCTGCTTTTTTTTTCAAATTTTGAAAAAGTGACTTTACATATTGATTCCCTTACTACTTAAATCTTATGTCTTAAGTTTTTCTATGTACCAAGGTATTTATTGTAAAAAGCCAATAATACTAAAATTAGCCTGGTACGACTACAGGTATACAGGGTGTCCCATTTTAATTGCCCACCCCAAATATTTCGAAAACTACACATCCTAGAAAAAGTTTTAGACAAAAGTTGTAGGGTTTCGAGGGGGGCATCCAACAGTGACCTTGACCATGATCATTATTATGGCCGTCAAGGTCATTTCAAGGTCAAGTCAAAATTTTCAAATGGAACGCCCCTTTTTTCACACCGCAATTGGAAAGAGGAAGAAATTTTACGTCCGAATATGACCTTGACCTCAATGTCAAGATCATGTCAAGATGAAATCCAAACATCTTGAAAACTATGTGCTCTTGCAAAAATGTTCGACACCAAAGTTGTGAGGTTCGGCGGGGGTTACTTAATGACCATGATCATGACCTTCAAGGTCATTTCAAGGAATTAGAAAGAGGAAGAAATTTTACGGGTCTGAATTTTGTGTGATCATAAAAGCAAACTCCCAATGAAGAAAACTAATTATAAAGGATCATTTTATGAAAATTAACCCTTACTCCGTAACCCTTTGTTTCGGCACCTTAAATCTGTAAACCATGGTCGATTTAAGGTGCCGAAACAAAGGGTTACAGAGTAAGGGTTAATTTTCATAAAATGGTCCTTTATAACTAGTTTATAACTTTTCTTCATTGGGAGTTTGCTTTAAGATCACACAAAATTCAGACCCGTAAAATTTCTTCCTCTTTCTAATTCCTTGAAATGACCTTGAAGGTCACGATCATGGTCATTAAGTAACCCCCGCCGAACCTCACAACTTTGGTGTCGAACATTTTTGCAAGAGCACATAGTTTTCAAGATGTTTGGATTTCATCTTGACATGATCTTGACATT